AGAGGAAGGGGGAAAAATAAGAACCAAGAGAGATTATGTAAAGGTGCAAATTTCCAATGATGAATGTCATTATATTGCACACCTAAAATGTACCAATAAAGTAAAATTTTAAAAAAACCAATGCCCTCTTTAATATTCAATGGGTCACAGAAGAAATTAGTTCCTAGAATCAAACAATAATGCCAGTACAGGATACTTGAACCTATGGTTCACAATGAAAGCAATTCTAAGAGAGAAGTTTATAGGTGTGAATGCCCACATCAGAAAAACCGAGCAAGCACAAATAAATAACTGAATGATTCAAAGTCCTAGAGAACAAGAACTACTGGGAACCCCTGAAACATTACCGGAAACCTCTGCCATAGGCTCCAGTCTCCTGCCCAGTGTATGACACAGGCCTGAGGAAAAAAATAAACTAAAAAGACAGAACTAAGAGAGATAGAAAATGGGGCTCCAGGATGACCAATGCTGGTACAACCAACAAAGGCACTGGGCTGTTGAAACCACTGATTTTTATTAGTAATCAATTAGGTAAATTTGAGCTATGAGCAAGGGCAAAATTATGTGTGAGGATGCACAGTTGTGTGGTTTCTATGGAAATTAATATAAGCAAAGCTGGTAAAAAACAAAGATAAAGCATTCTTGAATTAGGAACAGAATAGACAAAATATATGTTTGTAATTAGAATATTGTCCTTCTAGTAAAGGCTTTAGTTGGGCTGGCGATTAGCTCAGTGACACTGCGGCTGCCTCACAAGCACAAGGTCTTCAGTTTGATTCCTGGTACCAGAAAAAAAAAAAAGAGAAGGTTTTAGTTGTGGAAATGGAATTTGGGTGCGAGTTACTCTGACCCACATAAGGTTCGGCCAGATTCATTTCTATGAACAAGTGAATTGTCGGGTTAACTCTTTACAGCCTGCACTGCTTATAGCCTGCTTTGGGCATAATCGATATTGCAGTCTTCTGCAAAGAATAATCAAGATCAAGAACAAGAACAAGATCAGAGTAGAAATTAATGAAATTGAGACTAAAAAAATAATACAATGAATTTTGATCTGGTTCTTTGAAAGAATAAACACAATAGACAAACCCTTAACCAATCTTATCAAAAAAGGAAAGACCCAAATCAACGCAATTAGAAATGGAAAAGGTAAAGTCACAACAGACTGCCAAAATCCAGAAAATTATTAGTAACTACTTTAAGAATCTGTACTCTAATAAAATGGAAAATTCAGAAGAAATGGATAGATTCCTAGACACATATGTACTACCACAGCTCAAACAAGAAGATGTAAATAAGACCCTGTTTACTCCAAAATGAGGCAACGGGATTGAACAAGTAGTTAAAAAACTACCAACTAAGAAAAGTCCAGGTCCCAGTGGATTCATTCCCAATTTTACAAGAACTTGAGTCAAGATCAAATGCTAGTACTCTTTAAATTCTTTAATTTAATGGAAAGGGAAGGAGTCCTCCCAAAGTCATACATGGAAGCTAGCATTGCCCTGATTCTAAAACTGGAAAAGGACCTAACCAAAAAAGAGAACTATAGGCCAATCTCTTTAATGAACACAGACACAAAAATCTTCAACAAGATACTGGCATTCTGTTGGGTGCAACAAACCATCAAAAAACAAAAACAAAAAATCCTATATCATGACCAAGTAGGATTCATCCCACGGAGGCAGGGATGATTTGACATACACAAATCAAGAAATATAATACATCACATAAACATAAGCAAGGGGCCGCCATTCCATGCTCATAGGGCAGAGAAGGTGAGCCAATCCCAGGACCCAGGAAGGGGCTCCCCCACCGCCATTCCACACTCCTAGGGCAGAGAAGGTGAGCCAATCCCAG